ACCTATCGGTTCGAATATGGCCGGGTCCTCTCACATACACTGAGATGGCCCGGTTCAACGGCCTTTAATCTGGACATAGACGATAGTATCAACCTATCAAAGTAATGTATATATAGTACCATTTATGGAGTAATGCAGTGCGAACCGACGACGGTTGCCGCACTGGAAACATTCGCTCCGAGGACAGACTCACCTCGGCAAGAGATGGAATCGGCGAGCGCCGATTCGATAATGTGGCATATAGCCACGAGAAAGAGAAGGGAGAGATAGAGTCATGGTCAAAAGACAGAACCATTCGCTCAATATCACAGGAGGGGCCTTGGAGAAGAAGGAGAAGAGGCTCCCTCGCTGTGTGATTATAAAGGATACAAAACATAGCAAAAAACCCCCATTTGAATAAAAAAATACAAATACGAATTTGAAACTAATATATCGTGCCTCTTTCTGGTAGTCATCTTACGTGCAGCGGTAGAGCTTACTCGCTAATCCCAAAGTGCCCCGTGCCATGATTCAGCTTTTGACACCATGACCGGCATGCTCCAGCTGAATAATGATACTGAATACGGATACATCTGTGCAACCCCACCACATCACAAGAGACGCAGCCATGATTGGTTATTGTTTCTTTTCATATTTTCATAAGCATGTAGAGAACCATATCGCTAGGAAACAAAATACAAAAGAGAGTCTTCCAAAATACCAACAACTAAATGGGAACCAGTCGTACTTGCTCTCCGTTCCATCCCGACACAAATAAAAAAAAAAAGATCTTTTCTAAGCTTTGCTCCATTCAGGCATAAGATGAGGAACCTAAGATTGGTCAAACAATGGCAGAGGACCGAAGCGGTGGCAACGAAAGGGGCCGAAACATGAAGAGGATCAAAGAGGAAGTATTCAGCCCGTCGTTATGCCCAGGATGGTCGGGTGCCAGCACACGAAAACAACCCCCCCAAACCCCTCAACATTTCGTTCTTCTCTCTTCTTCTTTTCTTGTTTGATATATTGGCTGATATCAAACAGAGGAAGGTGATTTAGGGTGGGGAAGAATACGAGAAATAGGAAGGGGCAAGATTTACTCTCTTTCATAGATCTGGGTTAAGCTGTAGAACCTCCGTCGGTTATGTCTCTGATTTCGTCTCGTCTCATCTCCTGGCGGCCGCCGTCGTGGGTGCGGTCCAGAGCCCCTTGCTAGTTTCCACGACTTTGTTCCCTGCGTTTCCGGGCTGCAGCGAGGCCGGGACGCTGCTCATGTCTGTGTTGCCCATAACAACATCTTCTCCGGCGGCGGGGGAAACCGTGCCATAGCCACTGTCCCTGTCTCTGGCCGCGGCCCCAGCAGCTGCGAAGGCAGCTGCGGGAGCGCGCAGTGCGTTGGGGGCGGGTCCGCGCTGTGGCTCCTTGGATCGGGCACCGTCCATGAAGACGTTGTTCTGGGCCTCGCGGAGCTTGTTGATGGCACGGACGGTGTCGATGGCGGTGTGGAGGGTGCGGCGGGCGTTGAAGTTCTTCTTGATGGTTGGCAGCAGATTCTCGCCGGCGCCGTCGCTGGTGACCTGGGAGGCGACGAAGGGGTGCTGGAGGGCCTCGTGGGCTGTGATGCGCTTGGCGGGGTCGATGGTGAGGCATCGTCTGATGAACTCCTTGGCGTGGGTGGAGACCCCGCGCCAGTACTCGACGGGTGTGAAGCTGTAGTCGGCGTTCAGGATGGCCTGCATCTCCTCGAAGTCGGAGTCCCGGTCGAAGGGGGTGTAGCCGCACAGGAGGAAGTATGTGATGACTCCCAGAGCCCACAGGTCCACGGGCTTGCCGTGGCCGGTCTTCTTGAAGATTTCGGGTGCCATGTAGCCGGGAGTGCCGCAGGTCGTGGTGAGGACATGGAATTGCTCCTCATCCATGATTCGAGAGAGACCGAAATCGGCGATCAAGAGATCAGCGTTGTCTTCTGGGGTTCGGAAGAGCAGATTTTCAGGCTTGAGATCGCGGTGGACGATGCCATGGTCGTGGAGGTAGGCAACGGCGGAGAGCGTAGCGCGGATGAGGTCGGCAGCATCGGATTCATAGTAGGAGCCCTTACGGCAGATACGGTCGAAGAGCTCACCACCCAGGGCCAGATCGGTGACGAGGTACAGGTTGTTCATGGTTTCGAAGTAGTCGACCAGAGTCAGGATGTTCTGGTGTCCCATTGAGATCTTCTTGAGAACGGCGATCTCATTCCGTACCTAGGGTGAAGCATGCATGTTAGCATCTGTCGCAGCGCTCCCAAGAGGTAATCAATCCTCGCTCGTGTGTAGGGTCGGTGTGGTGTTATTTACCATGTGCTCCCGACCGGCCATCAGGCGCTTGTTGATGACCTTGGCGGCATAATACCGCCCAGTGTCGATGTGGACACATTCTTTGACAACGGAATATGAACCAGCGCCCAATGTCTTCCCAACCTTGTATCTACAAGGCTGGATCTGGGTCTGCTTGGATTGTTGTTGGTTCATATTGCCGTGGGTGGTTAGAGGTAAGACTTGGGGGGGTTGCGATGCCCCGCCAGCCCTATCGAGGTGGTGAGGAGGTCTAGGGTCGAGTCCTGGCTGCTTACGAACCAACAGGAGACGTACCCAGGGAAGCGGCGCTTTCTGTTGATCTGGTAGAGTGAGGACAATAGCTAGCTGATGGAGAGGCCGAGCTATAAGGCAAGATGCATATGTTCCTATGCATTCACACGAGCGGAAGGGTGTTGATGAGGGAAGCGAAGCTGAAGCTGAAGTTGATTTGCACCGTCGCAAGTTGGCGGGGGTCCGATTGCTGCCCCACCGTTTCACTAACAAGTGTGTGCTACTCGTACAAGCTACAAGGACGTGCGTTCGGAGCATTCTTTCTCCAATTGGCCACCATCATGGAGACGGAGCTGCCTCACCAAGGGAGGTTAGAAAAAGCGGCAGTGAGAAAGTGAGCACATAATGTTTCCATGATTTGTATCTCTGACAGGTTAACAAGTGGTTGCTTCTGGTTTGCATAAATACCCCCCCTCACTCGACACCACCTGCTGATCTAAATATAGGTAGGCAGGGTTTGGCTCGCAAGGAGAGACAAAACAGGGTGAACTAAAACGCCGTTCTGAGCCTCTGCCATGAGTTCCAAGCCTAGGTTATCCTGACAACAGCAACAAGTCCGATAAATTAAACCGGCTTTATGATAATTATCGTAGCAAGTTGCCGATTGCTAGTCTGGTTGTCCTGGTACTGTTTCCGAGCTAGGCGACTGACCTAAAACATGGCACACCTAGAACCTCTTCCAGCGTTGAATTTCAACACGATATCAAAACAATTAACCAAGTAATAAACATAATATTGAGCTAAATATTATGGAATAATTTATTATTAACTTATTATTATATTGAGTATTATTAAAAAGAAAATAAGGTCCCTAACTTGCATGGAAAGAGCTTTAGTGTGCCATGTCTTATATCAGTCGCTTGCGAGCTAATAACCTGAATATACATTTGTCGAAAATATGTCAACCAAGGTACTTTGTCGATATTTCAATCAGAACCTAGAATGTAAGCAGATCCTATTGAACCAGGGCTAGTCTACTGGTCGTTCAATTACAGGCATGGGCGCGTGTTGATTAGTATTCCGAAGAACCTCTCCTTGATTGCTTTTTTGAACTATGGGCCTTCTTCGTCATTAGCCGAGAGTTATGGAATCGCTGCGCACTGGATGTCAATTAGCAACCGGAATATGGCATGGTCATTCGTGGACTGGCCGGTACTCACACTTCTTTGTACTTGTGTTTCTTTTCCTCACTTGTCTCAGAGGGTGTATTTTCCCGGTAGATGCGAGTGATCTCATCCATAAGCTTCCGTCCATTGTCCTCTGCATTCAGCGTCCTCGACCTCTGCGTCTGAGCATGAAACGTGAGAGAATCATTGTTTGCTGTGTAGTATCTCGAAGATCGCAGGGCAGAGTGCAGCACTTTGGGCAGAATGGTAAATAGATCTTTAAGTGGGTAGGCCGTGACGGCCTTGGTTTCGGTTCTTTAAGATCAATAAGTTCATCTCATCTCATTCCCTCAACCTAGTATTAGGTATGCATGGGTTATCTTACTTGTTTACGTGCTGTCCGCCGGCCCCACTAGATCTGGCAAACGTCGTGCTGCCCTTGGGGAGCTGCGACGCATCGAACTGGTCAAACCAGGCTCGCGACTCTGCCAGCGCATCTTTATCCAGATGGGCATCGAAGGCCTCATATCTTTTGAGGCGCGTTACCACCCTTGAGAGCCCCACGAGTGCCGGCGTCTTTAAAGGACGCACCTGCGATAAGGCGAACCTCGCATTCATCTCATTGGAGATCTTGCGACATTGATGCTGTGACAAGCCTCCACTGGAACTGCACATTGGCGATGGTTGGCTATCTGCACGCTTATCACTGTGACCCGCCGCCACCCACCAAAGCAGGCGGCTCGTGCTGGTTCTGCCTATCCTGCTCACCGCCCCGGCAAAGCACCTAGCGCCACTTTTGTCCCGCCTCAGCCTCAGCCGCCCTGCCGCCATGGTGCAATTGTCACCCATCCTTCCTTCCTGACTCTTTTGCCTCACTTCTGCCTCTTGCTCGACACTCCAGCCAACAGACACAACATCAACGCGCGCAAATATCCAAGGTTGGGCGTTTAGCCCTTCAATTCCAACCTTTCTCCTGCATCAGCAGCCCTGCCGATTACCGGAGCCTTTACTTCATACATTCATCGTCGCTCCAGCCTCTTTTGTAGCTCAGGTTTGCCTGTCCTAGCCGCCTCGCACCCCTCGACCTCGCAGCCTTATCTTCCGCGCCATTTCCCACCACTTACCACATAGTACCTTCTCGGACCACGTATGTCGCGAGACAATCTTGAATTTACAGAGTCCTTGTCGCAGAATTTTTTCCACGTTTACCAGCTGCCATCCTACCCCTAACCTAGCTTTAATGCCAGAGCCGGAGGCAGAGCTACAGGCTACTGCCGACCTCTCCCCAGTCTCACCATCTCCCATCCACACAGCCTCGCCACTTGTAGTGCCGGCCCTCCAGGATACTGTCGATACAATCGACGCGATGGTTGGTGCAGCTCTTGCTACAAACGGGGAGATTGGCCTGCATCATGCCAAACATGACCTGATCGACACTCTTGACGAGGACGATGTCGTAGATGACGACAGCTTCAACGACCCATATGCTGAAGAAACCCCAACCGAAACTCCCGTGGAGCCTCACACTAAAGAGGAGACAGACTTCGCAAACGACGATGACTATGCGAAAACATTTGACTCCCCCGTCGGCTCTGAGAAGGGTGACGGCGAGGACGAACAAGAGGCTCCTGTATCATCAGTTCTCCGAGAATCCAACAATATTTCCTCACATTCTGGTGCCTTGACTACCCACCCATCAGTCGCCTCACAATTCGTGCTTGATACCTCACCTGCGCAACCTTCTGCTGGAAGTCATGCGCCTGCCCAACCCGCGGCAGATGCAGCTCCCCAAAGACTGAGCGACTCCAATCACTCGAATGCCGATCCCAGTTTACCTCAATCCGCTTACGGAGGCCACAGTGCAGACCGTTCTGAAAGGCCTTCATCAGCGGATCTCCAACAACTTGTGGCTGATCTGACGCGCCCCCAGCCCACTGATGAAAATCATAACCTAGACCCATCTGCCCAGTTTGCGCAGGCCGGGCAGTCCAGCGGCCCTCCCCCCCAAACAAGCCCATCTGCTGCTCTGCCATCGTCCTCATCCCTCCCGCCCCGGCCTCCTCAACCCAACGGAGCTCCCCAGACGTATGCATCTCTCCACCATCCTGCCGGATCAGTTCCAGGTGTACCCGTCAATGTCGCTGCTCCGCCCAATCCCGGTCAGCCCTCGACGTATGTCGCGGCCGGCGCCCCAGGAACATCTACTGAAACCATCAGCAATCTCCCGCCGCCCCCGCCAGCTGGCCTTGCCAGCCACCCTAGTCTCGCATCCATGACCTCTGTCCCATTCCCCGCTCAAGCCGGCTATCCCGCAGATGGGGAAGACGACTACCAGCGCAAGTGGGATCAGTTTATTGCTGATGAAAGGCAATATATGTCGGAGGCCAAGTGGGATCGCTTCCCCGAAGGCTCTCGCATTTTCATTGGTAAATAAGCCTCCAGACTCACGTAATTCGTGCTAATCAAGAGGGCAGGTAATCTCTCAAGTGATAAGGTTTCAAAGCGCAATGTGTTTGACATGTTCCACAAGTATGGTCGACTTGCACAAATATCTCTGAAGTCTGCCTATGGATTTGTCCAATACCACACTATTGAAGAAGGCCAGCGGGCCATAGACACTTTGCAAGGCGCTGAGATCAAGGGGCGACGTATTCGTATGTTTTGAACCACCCAGATAATCACTTTTATCCACCGGACGCAGCTGACATGTGCAATGGGAAGATCTCGAAGTATCCAAGCTTCAGGATAAGTCAAAGAAGGAGCGCCCTCGAAGCCCTGATAAAGGACGCGGTCGAGATGCCGGACGACGTAATGAGAGATATGGCAACCAAAGTAGGGATGAGTATCGCCACGGTGGTCGTCCCCATTCTCCTCGTCGTAATGAGTACAACGGCGACAATTACGGTCGAGAACGGGGATATTACGAGACAGGCCGTGGCCGTAACCGATCTCGATCACCCGGCTATGGTCGAAGCGGCAACAACAATAACAACAACCGAGACTCGTACCGGCACAGAAGCCCCAGTCCGTATGGGCGATCTCACAATGATGGAGGAGAGATCGACCTCCCTAGAAGATATGGAGCGGATGTCCCTGACATCCAGATTATCCTTCAGCCGGACGTCAGTCGTGAATTCGTTAACTGGGTTGAAAGTGCCTTCAAAGCCAAAGCTCTCAAAACCGAGGTCATGTTTCTGCATCCACGGATACCAAAGGACCAAGTTATCCAACGACAGGCGGTTGAAGGTGTCCATGCTGTGGTCGATTTAGACATGCGAGCACAGCAACGGGGTAAAATCCCAGTCCAAGCCTTTGACCGATCGGCAGGATCGTCCAATGTTCGCTTTGACCAATATCTGGACCTAGATCCAAATATTGCAGCTGAAGTCATCGTTCGGACGAAGGCTTCTGCCATGCCCAGTTATGGGCAGCCATACGGCGGGGCCCCTGGCGGTTACGGGCAATCGTACAACGCACCAAGCCAGCAGCCAGCTCCAGTCAGTAACTACTCGCTGCCTCAGTCTGCCGCCTATCCACCTCAGCAGCCGGCTGCCAACGCAGCTGATATTGCAAACCTGTTGGGCAATGTAGACAACACGACTCTTCAACGGCTTCTTTCTTCAATCCAGGGGGCCCCTTCAGGTGCCATCCCCGCGGTAATGCCACACGGGAACGTCCCCCCAGCAGTTCAACCTGATATCCAGGCTATTCTAGGTAGTCTATCCGGGGGTGCGCCAGCCCACCAACATCATGTATCAGGCCAAGCTCAGTACCCCCAGTCTTACCCTCCCCAAGGGCCACCAGGGCCACCAGCTCATTCGCCAGGTGGTGGTGACTCGGCTGCTCAAGTCCAGAACATCATGGCGCAGTTGGCGCGGTACAGACAATGATGGGCAGGTTCCTTGGTCTGTCATTGTATCTTGATGGTTCATGATTATATCAACATTACAGTTTGGATCCTTTTGCATGGCTATTGGGGGAGGCATTGATTGATTGATACATTATAGGTAGCAGGTAATGGGGCTGGATTTCAAGGATGGTGGGGAGTTTCTTGGGCGTTCTGTTGTAGAAAGCAACATCTTTTCAGAGATTTCAGTGATAGTAAGGGTGATTCCCACCTCAACGAGTGCTCTTTCCAGGGATAAGTACGGTTGATGGAACGGCCGCGAAGCATTATAGGTTTATTTTATCGTCTAACAGGTGCAAATCTCAATCGATGCTTGAGAGATGCGAACATTTCTATGATCGTAGGAACGGCTAGGCTATTCAATCCTTGCTCTAGGCATGCAAGGTGACGGATCTTGAGTAATATCACCACCCGAACGCTTCATTGTGCCAGTGCACCCGCCGGCCAAGCATGACCCACGGCCGAACAGCGTCCCTGACGTCCTTGGCCATGCCCGCAGGTCCACACACCATGACGGCAACGCTCCCCTGGTTATCTTTGCGGAATGCATCGTCGATGATCTTCTTCACATCAGGCCGCTTCTTACTCTGCCGTCGTAAGTCGTCCATCTCCAAGCCGCTGCTCTGTCCTCCATCCCGCTCTGAGGAGTCATGGCCGACGCCCATGTCTCCGGTGAGAAAAAGCTCGACGTTGTCATCGTCTAGTATGGACTTTGCGACTGAGGAGCTGGCCCAGGTGGCATCACCCGCGGACCGGACGGCCCAGATGAACTTGACTTTGGGGGAAGTTGCCGCAGATGAGTTGCTGTCGTTTAGGAGTGCCTGGTAAATGGGGAGGGCGAAGGTGGCACCGACGCCGCCGGCAAAGAGGAGGACGCGGTCGACCTTGAGGGAAAGTAGGTCTTGTGCGGTTTTGCCAGTAGCTCCATACGGGCCGTCGATGTTAAGTGATACTTGGGGAACGGGATCCGAGGATGACGAGGAAGATGTGCCGCTGGCGAGGGAGGAGAGACGAGCGGTCATGGGTCCGGACCGAGCCCTAGCGACGAGGGTGACGGAGTTGATTTTCTCATTGACGGCGGCTACGGAGAAGGGGTTGAAGAGGAACTCGTAGATGAGGCCTGAAGGTGAGAGCATGTTTTGGGATGGTCGGCTCGAGGGCGGGATGCTGAGGTAGATGTGTGAGCCGGGGCGAGCGGCGAAGGACGAGACTTTACTAGCGGGGAGTGTGGCTTCTATCTTTATGATGTCTGTTCCGGGGACTTTCTCCAGTGTCGAGGGGGCTGTCACGACCAAGATCTTACGGACACCGATGTCGATCGTGAAGACGAGGAGAGCTCCGATCACGTAGAGCCGGGCTGACTCGGCATGGAAGAAGATGAGAGGTGGGACGGAGAGCGCGGCGACAAGATGGGTGATGAAGAAGACGCGGTATGACCACCTCCTGACCTCTCTCATGGCGGTTCCGTTGAGGGTATGGAGACCGGTGAAAGCAACCACGCCGGCGAACACAACCGGGGCGAAGAAACGCTTGAGCCAGATGCTGGAAGCGACGAAGAAGATGTTGTAGAAGATGAGATGGAGCACGAGCAGCGAGTAGATGATGCGGCCCAGGACTCGGTGGTAACGGTTGACCTGCTCATGGGATGACTTGAAAACCCACGCAAATGGGTTCAGAGCTTTGAGGGCCAGCAGATACTGGATGGGCATCTGTGAGATGGCAATAGCTCCGAAGCGCTTGGTAAGATGCAGGTAGTCTGCGTATCAACAGGTTAACGACGGAAACATGAAAGCGGCGCATCAACTGAAAAGAGCACACCCACCCTTTCCGGTGCCTAGGACGGACAGCAATAATAACCAGATGGTCCAGGCGATACCCAGGACCCATTCATCCCTCTGACCCCAATTGTCGTTGAGGAAGACGACATCGTCGCCCATCCACCAGGTGAGCTTCCTCCATCGCGTCTCATAGCTGTGCAGAAGCCCCGAGCGACGAGCCTTGGCAATTGGGGAGCCCGGGACCTCCTGGTAGCGCTGTTCGCGGCCGGCGAGCACGCTCTTCACGGCGGCGAGGCCTAGACGGAGGAGCACGTAGAGGGCGGCGGGCGCCAGGGCCGAGAAATGGGCAATTGCGGCATAGCGATCGTTGGCCTGGCGGCGGAGGAGCTTCTCCTCGGATGTGAGGTCGACGAACTCGTACGGCCAGCCCATGGTGTGTGCGCCTACTTACACTATGGCTTGGTCGTGGCTCTCTGACCAGATGCTGTCCTGGCATAGGCCATTACCAAGCAAGTCGCGGTGGGCCGGGGCTGGCGTTGGTGGTGTCCGACCCGAACTGGTGGGTGTCACGTTTGATGTGCCACGTTTTCCATCACCCTCGTCATGTAAGTCACAGATGCAGCATGTTTGGATTGGCAATGAAAACAATGGTCATCATGACACAAAATCTGTTTTATTTTTTGGGCATTATCCTGATATTCTTCTGGTCGATTATTGTGCTGATTGATCCATGTTTTAGACTTGCCATGATCCACCTATAAGCTCCAGCTGCTAGACATCAATTATTAATAGCTGGTGTAATTGCCAGGGAGCTGCTGCAGGGTTGATCGTGCAGCATTGGCGAGAATACCGAGTGTTGGGGGATACCCTGTAGCAGCCAAGTACATAGCTTCTACACTGGTGCCTTTTCTTCAGAAGTGGCTGTGCCCGACAGTAGCAGCAAGCCATTGCAAATCCTCGACCTCAACAACTATGTCTCCCTCCCCTTGGCCTGGATGCCGAAGAAAGAGGTCGGAAAATCTCAGCTCTAGTGCACCTCCAGTGACGCTGTACGACAACGGAAGCGTTCTGTTTGCAGTGGCTGAGTTCCTCGTGATGTTGATAACTTGCTGACAGGCGGGCTCAAGGTACACACCAGAAGAGCCAACAGGCCGCTCTCGCCATTGTTCAATCGTTATTTTTTCCAATGATCCGGGATGAAACTTGATTAGAAGAACGATTTTGACCTGGTGATTTGACTCCTTGAACCACCACCCTATGTCATCCCGTAGTTGCTGTAGAGATTGTGAATACCCTGCTTCGATAACAAGCGTAGGCCATCTTCGAAAGCTCCTTTGCCCTGGTTGGATTGGGTGCCCGCTTGAGTCACCTTCCCCAGATCCCACGCTGCCGTCTCCTTCTTGCCGATGAGTTGCGCTACCAGTTGAGAGCCAGTGGTACCTTAACCCCATGTCGCGAATCCTTAGGGTGATTTCTTGGTCTAAATTACTGCGCATTGCTTCGTGACACTTAGTTGGGATTGCAATAATAAGTAGATTATGTTCTGGGTAAAACCGCCTAAACCGATATTTTCGGTTGTGGTCTTCCCTAAACTTCTCGATAGCAGAGAAGTCCTGTGGAGATACATCTAAAGATTGATGTAACTTGGTTTAGCTAAAGATTGATTCAAGCGAATGTATCAAGTATTCTTTACCTTCAACATAGAGGATATCGCCTGGCGTCTTGTAAATCTCCTGGGTAAGGAGTTCGGCTGTTTGGAATCTGATCCGAGGCACAGTGGTGGGATCATCGGCTGATGTAGCTGCGTCTGAAGACATCGAGCCTCGTGGTGGATCCATTCTGGGAGCTGCAGAGATGATTATCGGGATTGTTTTCCCTTGTTGTTTATAATGCGCAAAAGGAAGAGACAAGGCTTGGCGGGGTAGAAACTTAAGGTTCAGGTTTAATGGCTAGGTAGCTCCCGTATAAGACGGCCCTTGAGGATATCATGTTAGTTCGCCACTGTACCGGCATGTCTTGAGCTAATCCAACAAGATTCTACGGTATGCTCAAGCTACAGGGCATCTGCAGTGGCCTCGATCAAAGCATCCCGAGAGTCTGGTTGATCGGTGATTTCTTGGGCAGGCTTGGCTTTGGCAGGCTTGGCTTTGGCAGGCATCGTCTCACGCGGCGCCTCTTCTCCTGCCACCAACCGCAATTCTGTTCTCCTGCAATCCGTTCAAAATAGGGAAGCCCATTCGAAGCCAGGGCCAAGCCTCGTACGGTTATTAAATTGTAATAGCTGTAAGGGGCGCCCCGACTATTTAAGCGTATTCTGACATGCGTTGCGTGGGGAATACGCTATACGTCTCTCTATACGCCTTTGGGGTAGCTGTTTGGGCACAGGCGGGATCCACAATATTCATGACAGCTTCATGCTGGAGGGATCAAAGAGGCGGAGTTGCTCGGCACTGGCCCTCCTGCTGGCAATGAAACGTGAATTTCACTCATGATTGAGCCTTGGATTACTCCAGGTTGCTTTTTAATTTCCAGAAATCTTGGCGGCAGATCAGGAAAAATATGGCATATAAAGGGCACGGCAGGTCTGTCTGTATGCAGCTCTACATTGGGCTCATCAGCATCAGCAATACAAACCAAGTTACCAAGATTCTCTCTCTTCACTTCCAATCACCGTTAACCTGCTCAAGCAACCGAACTTCAAGATGGCACCTAAATCGTCCTTGGCAGCTGCCGCCACTGCCGTTCTTGCACTCACCTCGTCGGTGGTGGCCGCGCCATCTCAGTCCGTCGCTGAGCGAGACGACTCCGGACCCAGCTTGACAACTCAACTGACCATCGCGGATTCGTATGTCCCGTCCCGTCCCGCCCTGATCCGCGGATCCAATCCTTTTGGCCGAAGGAGCCCATCTAATGCAGACCCCTAACTAGTACCGTGGACAAGTTCAATCTCCTCAAGGATGAGGACTTTGTCTTCGATTTCAAGACCGGTCCGCTGGCCTATCGCAAGAACTTTCCCGCTCTGTCCACCGTAGGTGGCGCCATGGCATATGCCTCGCTCCCAGGTGAGTTACTTGACGGATAGGACGAGCGTACAGCATGCTCCGTCCTCGATGCAATACCCCGCGGCGGCTAACCTAACCCTCCCCCAATAGCTTGCGGCATGGTTGCCCTCCATCAGCACCTCCGAGCCAACGAGCTGTTCGTCGTCACCTCCGGCAAGATCTACTCCGAGATGGTCCCGGAAGCCGGCGTCGTTGCCAACGGGGCTGACAGGATCATCAAGACCGAGCTCACGGCTGGTCAGATGACGATTTTCCCCCAGGGAACCTTGCACACCCAGGTCAACATGCAGTGCCAGAATGCGAGCGCCGTCGCCTCGTTCAACTCCGACGACCCCGGTACCATCATGGTCCTGCCCAAGGCCTTCACCATGACGGATGGGCTTGTTCAGACGAGCTTCGGTACCATCTTTGAAGGCAAGGACATCGACTCTGTGAGGCAGGCTCTGCCCAGCGGCGCCCTCATGATGGTGGAGGAGTGTCTCAAGAGGTGCAACATGACCAAGAACTAGATGCGGGCGAGCTTCCTCCTGGTCGGGATCGTATTCAACTGTGTGACTCGGGGGTTCCTGACATCGGGTGCGGCAGATAGTCGATGACTCCATAGAACATCTAGTACAGCCAATCAATTGCTCTGTATAGAGCCCGTTACTAGGACCCTTACATAATGCGAATAATGAGCTAGCTCCGTTATAGGGCACGCGGCCCAGACAGGTGCACTGCACTCGCCTGGAGTCGCAGCAACTGTCGATCGCGCTGGCGATGGCAGCAATGTCGGACTCGGAAGGCAGCTAATTTCCAGAACCCCGGATTTGCCTAATGGACCTAGGCACGGCATGCAAGACGGGATCGATCGGTATTCGGCGAGTTGGCTCTCATCAATTGACCTGCTTGGTCCTTGGGGTCGGTCCCTGTCGCTTCAGCTAGCGGGTGGTGCCTCTGCCCCGCATCAGCAGGAACCCCGCCACCAGCCAGCGACTTCGCAGTAAGGATAATGGATGCGAACAAGGTTGAAGCTAAAACAGGTTGTAGGTAGACCGTCCGCAAACTCAACGGGCACAGGTACTTGGCCTTGGTGCTGAAATTTTTTTCCTCGTCCAATCCACCCTCGCCGTGCTTTCCCGTCTTTCCCATTATTTTATCTTCCCTTCTCCTCGCTTTTCCCTCCTTCGCTTCGACCTTCCCCTCTATCGCCTCATCTACCTCTGCCCTCCCCTACTTCCTTCCCGGCTCCCAATTGCAGTCAATCCATCACCATGTCTCCCATCAACCCTGAGTATGCCTTGTCGGCTTCCCACAAGGAGGTATGTTGCAATTCTGCTGCCATGCATTTGGAAACCCGTCCCAGCTAACCAATTGTTCCAGCTGCTCGAGAAGAGCCTTCTCGACTCCGACCCTGAGGTCGCTGAGATCATGGTATGACTCAACACCAACCCGGCGATTCACTCTTGCTGTGCCTTGTGTGATTTTCTAACAACTTCTACAGAAGGCAGAGATCCAGCGCCAGCGTGAGTCTATTGTTCTCATCGCCTCCGAGAACATCACCTCTCGTGCCGTCTTCGATGCCCTTGGTTCTCCCATGTCCAACAAGTACTCTGAGGGTTACCCGGGTGCTCGTTACTATGGAGGCAACCAGCACATCGACCAGATCGAGCTCCTGTGCCAGCGCCGTGCTCTTGCTACCTTCCACGCCGACCCCGAGAAGTGGGGTGTCAACGTCCAGTGCCTCAGTGGCAGCCCTGCCAACCTCCAGGTCTATCAGGCCATCATGCCTCCTCACGGTCGCCTCATGGGTCTTGACCTTCCCCACGGTGGTCACTTGAGCCACGGCTACCAGACTCCTACCCGCAAGTATGTGACACTTGTCTAGCTCATACCCCTAGCTATCTGTCTGGTTTTGGATGACTCAAACTAACCCGATCTCAGGATCTCCGCCGTCTCTACCTACTTCGAGACCATGCCCTACCGCGTCGACCTCGAGACTGGCATCATCGACTACGACACGCTTGAGAAGAACGTCCAGCTCTACCGCCCCAAGGTCCTCGTTGCTGGTACCTCTGCCTACTGCCGCCTCATTGACTACGCTCGCATGCGCAAGATCGCTGACACCGTCGGTGCCTACCTCGTCGTCGACATGGCTCACATCTCCGGTCTCATTGCCGCCGAGGTTATCCCCTCCCCTTTCCTCCACGCCGACATCGTCACCACCACCACCCACAAGTCTCTCCGTGGCCCCCGTGGTGCCATGATTTTCTTCCGCAAGGGTGTCCGCTCCGTTGATGCCAAGTCCGGAAAGGAGACCCTCTACGATCTCGAGGGCCCCATCAACTTCTCTGTCTTCCCTGGCCACCAGGGTGGCCCTCACAACCACACCATCACTGCTCTCGCAGTTGCTCTTAAGCAGGCCCAGACCCCCGAGTTCAGGGCTTACCAGGAGAAGGTCGTCTCCAACGCCAAGACCCTCGAGAACAAGTTCAAGGAGCTCGGCCACAAGCTTGTTGCCGATGGCACTGACAGCCACATGGTTCTGCTTGACCTCCGCCAGCACTCTCTTGACGGTGCTCGTGTTGAGGCTGTCCTTGAGCAGATCAACATTGCCTGCAACAAGAACGCTATCCCTGGTGACAAGAGCGCCCTGACCCCTTGCGGTATCCGCATCGGTACCCCTGCCATGTCCAGCCGTGGTTTCGGCGAGAAGGACTTCGAGCGTGTCGCCGTCTACATTGACGAAGCCGTCAAGATCTGCAAGGAGGTCCAGGCTGGCCTTCCCAAGGAGGCCAACAAGCTCAAGGACTTCAAGGCCAAGGTTGCCACCGGTGAGAATGCCCGCATCAACGAGCTCCGCAAGGAGATCTCTGAGTACACCAGCTCTTTCCCTCTCCCTGTTGAGGGCTGGCGTCTGGATGCTGGCATCTAAATGTCTGTACTATATCTACTCGCACATGAGTACTGAGTTGCGTGGTGAATTTTGAAGATACCACTGAAACGGATCAGAAACTACTATCTACCAGATAGCGAAGGACAACCCAATTTTTTTCATCAAAAAAAGGGGAAGTCTAGTTTGGATCCAGCTGGACGCTACACTTTAACATGAATGGATGATGGCAAATGTTCAACAAAAGCATGCATTTTTCTGGGCGCACGATTTTCTTTTTTGTAATTTGGAGGGAGTTGGGCAATGGATGGAATGAAAGAAGGGGTTTTATATACAGGAAGACAATTCTCTGGATGGAGCTCTTTCTGCGAACTAGATCGTCTTAACACGATTCAAATATGAGACAATAAATACTATCAAGACTATGGACCTAAAAGCGTCTATAAAACTGACCTGCTTTCATCCTACCAAATTCAGTGTCGCAGGTCTGGTGTGGCCTTTGCCAAGGTTGTAGACCAACCATACCCGGCATCTTATTATACCTTGAATGTTCAAACAATGCATACATTCGCAATCAAGCCTGTGTGGTAGCTTCTCTTTCATCCAATCGACATGTTTAAAAAGTAGCCAACTTATCGTAGCTATCTCTTGATATCCTCAACCCGGCCAGCTTCAAAGCATGACTCCCCCGCGACCGGGGTGCTTCCTTCCTTGCACCCGGCTTGGAAATGGAACAAAACAAAGCAACCATGAAACAAATACCCAAGGCAGTTTCTGCTCGGGTGGACACCACTCCACAAACATAATCCCCCCCAGTCTCTGGTCAAATTGAATGAGAACAAGCCACGAGACAAATATTCTAATTGCCATACAGTGTCACCCCCCAACCCCCCTGCAGTTGCTTCCAGATCGAAACTAATTTAAAAAACAAAACAATTCTCAAACGACACCATGCTGCCAGTCCAATGTAATTTTCTAATAAGATTGCTCCCGTCTTGTTGGCCAACCGCCTTTTTTGTTGTTATGTCAGACCAAGGTTTAATGCGCCGGCACCAGCGGCCCGAGGGCTCCCCAGCGTTGGGAAGGGGGCGGGGGAGCCAGGTAGAATGAGTATTTAAAGTGTTACAATGCGTGAGGAGAGCCGCGGGCGGCCTCGGTAGTAGTGATGGCTTTTTTTGTCTTTTACTTCTTCAAGTCGTGTGATTTCGTGGGTGAGGCCTCCGCTAGAGTTTCTCCTTGACGCCTGCTGTGGAAAGTTGATACAATAGGCTCTGAAGCGATGCAATAAATGATAGGAAATATTTGAGTTCCACAAAACGTTTAGGATATCCAGGGTATGGTAGAGACAAACGAGCAGAAACAAGGCGTTCTGCAAAATACATTGATTAAGGGAAATATCGAACCAGCTCTTTACCCTTTACCATGTGTGGGTTGTCCAGGTCTCGAGCTGGATACATGTTCCATGGTAGGGAGCTGAGCCGATTGCAGAGGCACCATAACGATAGTGAATGGTAGGTAGGTATCAACTGCTATCCGATCAAGGGGCGATACTCTCTGGGCTCATCATGCCCATGCCCTCTTCCTTGTCGGTCTGGCTGGTGCCTCCCTGGCTCTGTGTGCTGTCCGCACGCTCCATGGAGGGGGCTAGTGCAAGGACAGCAGGGTTTGGGGCTGCTCCGTTCGGCATACTCTGTGATTTCTTCTTGGATGGAGTATTGTTGACCGAGCCGGCCTTTTCGAGAGCAGCCGCATTTAGTTTGGCTTCTGCAGCAGCGGCCTCCATCTTCTTCTTCTTCTTGGCGAGAGCCAGCTGCTCTTTGGGTGGCCTCTTTTGGGCCGACACGATTTTACCACTTGCACCAAGTCGTGGGCGTGGTTTCCTCTGCTTGACTGGCAAGTCTTCGTCTTCGACCAGGGGCTGATCGCCGTTAGCGTGTAGCTTGGCCAAGAAGAAGTTCTTGACCAGTCCAATATGGTCTTGAATGTTCTCTCGGGTAACAGCCTCAAGGGGATCGAGGGCAGAAAAGAGATCGGCAGTGGTGGAACCAGCGGTTTGCGTCTGCATTTGATATTGATTTCGTACCCTGGATTGGAGGAGGTGGAACGGAACACCCAGGGCTCCGCCCAGTTCCTGATCCAATCCAAGCGCTTTGAAGCCAAAGAAGTCTTCACCAAGATCGTCCGCAAAATCGCCACTAACGAATGTGTCGGCCCCATCCTTAAATGCCCCGACACCGTCGTTACTGCCTTCTCCTGCAAGTGCTGGGCGCAGAAGGTCGGTGAGATGGACCTTCATCCTATCGTGAAGTGCCCCGAGCTTGCTGCTATGACGGTCGAGCTCGTCCTTGATGTAAGTGTCCAGAGTGACAACATCAAAACCGTTCTCATCTAAAGTATGAAGCATTATTTCTTCAGGCGTGAATCTTGATTGAATCTGGACGCCAGAAGGTGTCTGTACTGCCTTCTTTTCTACATTCTGATAGAGGTTGAAGGTTTTGACGAGTTTCTCAAAGTAGTCGGCGGCGATTCCAGTGAAGGCATCAACGGCTGAAGGCTGCGTCTCTTCAAATCCAGCGTGGTAAAGAATTTTGGTGATAGACCGCTTCAGGGCGTTCTGGCAAGTATCTGAGGCCATCA